CATAAGCACCAAATACCATTTTAATTCTGTGCATTGAACCTTAGCTAAGTACGTTTCCAATTGGGAATGGATGGCAATGGTTTCCTTTGCTGGCCTAATAATTGCCACTGTAATTGTAAGTGCTGAGGCTTTGCAGCAGGTTTGAATAGAAGGCAGCAGCTGTGTTAGCAGGTGATGGATTCATTGCTCCAAGTGGCTGCTGTGTGCACTCCCATGCTTCAGTATTTCCTTAATTCTGGGGCTTTCAGAGCGTTTGGAGAACACAGGAGTCTTAGGCTGTGATGAAAACTGGCCCAGCCCTAAATCCCAGTGCTGTGGAAACAGGCTGGGCAGCTTAGCTGCAAAATGAGGTGACTAGAAGAGATTTATGTTACTACAAATACCAGGGCACACCTGCAGCTACATAAGAGCCAGTCGCTTGGCCTTCCTCGCCAAGCTGAGGTGTGCCCTGTAAGGGCCTTTATAGGGCTGAAAGCTGAGGTGGAAGGAACCAGCACATTTAGCTTGTTAAGCATATTATCTCTGGGATGTGCAAGTCTTCACATTCCTGGGAGACTGTGAGTATGTGACAGGTATGTATTGTGTGAGCTAAATCTGGGAAAAGGGGGGAAAATGCTCTAGTTCTGAGTAAAAACAGGAAAGAGAAAAAGAACTGCTTGCCGAGAAGAAAACGCCGTGTGTGTTCATGCTAATGGGTTTCCCACACCTCCGTTTGCATTGCCACCACAGTGCTAAAAGGAGCTTTAGTCTGGACGTGAGCATTTTACACTTCATCTGTCACCAGTTAAAAATAATAATAAAAATGGGAACGGTCTAATTGTTCTACCTTCTCATTTTTCTTCCTTTGTAAGGCAGGACCTCTTTGCAGATGCAAATAAGTAAGCTGTCCCCTCCAAAGCCAGTCCTTGGCAGGTCCCTGTCTGGCTGCTGGGCAGAGAGGTGCAGCAGCTCCTGCACATGCAGAAAACACAGATGGTCCCAGTTCCTTCTGAAGGAGGTTAATGAGGTGACTAAGGATGTGCCAAAAGTCTAATGTACTTCTGCAGACATCTTAAACCAGTTCCTGCAGATCTTTCCAGACTGTTCTGGCCCAAAAGGAGCCTTGTTTCTCAGGATCCAAAGTCCCAAATGCTCCTGATGAAGTACTGTGAGTTTTGTACACCTGTAAAAATGTAACCATGTAAATTAAGTGTATTGTACTCAGTAATTTTGACTTTACAAGAAAAATGTGTGCACAGAGGTCTAAGTGCCATCATGCTCTTTCATTCTTTTTTTTCTTGCCATTTTAACCTAATTTGCACAAGGAAAGGTTACTGGCAGATTTCTCCAGTTGCATATTTGCAAATATTATTTATTTGCCTGGCAAAGGCAGAGAACCATTTGTGAGGGTGCCTATAAGTTTGAGGTCCAGGAATATTATAAAAATATTACTAAAAAAGCTCTACAGAAATACTATATAAAGTAATATTTATTTTACACTACATAATATTACATAAAAAGGCACTACTTGCCTTTTAGTCAGAGCATTCTGCATTAAGACAAGGGGGAATGACGTTAAACTGAACAAGGGTAGGTTTTAGAGTAGATGATAGGAAGAAATTCTTTACTATGAGTGTGGTGAGGCACTGGCACAGGCTGCCCAGAGCAGATCTGGCTGCCCCATCTCTGGATGTGTTCAAGGCCACGTTGGATGGGGTCAGAGCAATGTGATTTTGTGGAAAGTGTCCTGGCCCATGGTAAGGTGGGTGAAACAAGATGATCTGAAAGGTCCCTTTCACCCCAAACCAATTTGTATTTCTGTGATTTGATGAATATAAGGAGTTGGCTGTCTGCTGCTGCTGGGGACTGTTAAACTGAGTATCCACAGCATTTTGAGGCTTTATTTGGAGCATGTAAGTAGGACTTGCATGGAGTAAAGGTTTTGTGCTCACTCTCAGCATTTTTCTGAGTGCCATTCAATTAGGATTAAAAGCTGTGACTCACAGGACATTGACTCAGCACTTATCACATGAACAAGCCCTCTGCCTGCATCCTGGCTTTTGCACTCCTTATTTCCCTAACCTGCAGGCCTGCTTCCTTTTATATTCCTGTTATACCAAACTCATCAGTTGGACTTCAGTGCAAGACATCTAGATTTGTGACATTATTTTTAGGACGTGAATTAGACTTACTTTTGGGAGCAGCTCATTTTTAAAATCTGAATTAAGCAATAGAAATAAATCACTCACACCTACTAATCCACCAAGTCAAGGATGCCAAATTCAGATTAATCTTACTGAAATTTCAGAACGTTTCCAAACTTAATTCTACCCTTACAGTTCAGACTGATTTAGTTTATAGGACTATTGATGTTGTGGCAGAAAGAATTTGGGGTGTTACACAACACACCTTCAGTGATAACAATGTTTTCTCTGCTTAGAGGAGAGACTAAATCATATCCCTTGTGTCTTGTCTCAGCAGATGGGGTAAAGAAACTGCCTGTGATGTTTCCTGTTTAAGATTCACGTGCTGGTTTAGGAGGAGATGTGCAGGTGACTGGAGACAGTACAAGCAAAACACATTTGTTTCAGTGCAAACAGGGCAGCCACAAATCTGCAGTAAATTGTTTGGTACTGGGAGCACTTTAGTTCTGGCTCTTGCATGGATGCAGCTCAGATCCAGGCTGTGTGCTGCTAGCTGCTTGGAAAAGCTTTAACTGATCTCTGCCAAACCCCTGCAATGCAGTCCTGTTTTTAATCTTTTCTTGTTTTGGTTTTTTCTTTCTTCTTTCTTTTCCATTTTACAAGTGGCTGATTGATTGCCAGGATATCTGAGGGAAAGGGCAAGGCTTGGATAATCCATAACTGAGAGGATGACTCTGGAGGGCAAATGCTTTCTTCTATCTTACTACCTCCCCTTCTGCTCAGTGGGCAAGAAAAGCCTCACGTGGCAATGTCTCCAAATCTGAGGGATGCAGAGATTTGCAGTGAGGTCATCCACTTAGTCACTATAACTAAAATATTAAACTTGGGCAAAAATCATCTTTTCAACCAGCCCTTCCTCACATTAAATCAGTGCCACCATATTTCAAAAGTGAAGTACCAGCACTGTGTTCAAATCTGGAAAAATTAGAGTGGAAGAGGAAAAGAATTTTTTTCTGTATAACGCAGAGCCAGTCCAGTGACTGCTCATGGGTCTCTCATTAGCTGCAGTTCAAGAGTGCTTTGTGTTTGCCTTGCCCTGCCCTGCCCTGCCCACCTCCCCACCCCCCCTTCCCCTCCACTGCCCTCTTCTCCTTGGGTTTTTGTTTGGTTTCTGGGTTTTGTTATTAGATGGGGTGTATTTTCTTATTCCCCAGCTCAGAGTAGTCCCAAAAAAAGCATCAAGAGCTCCTCAACCATCTGCTCCCTCCAAGGTCTGATCATCTATTTCCACATCCCCTCTAAGACATTTCTCTAACTTATCCTTAAAAGAGTTGGACAGTGGGGTTTCCAGTGCTCCATCTGTTTCTCTGCTTGAAGCAACTATGGGCCTTGAAAATGTTCTACAGCTTCTAATCTGAATTTTCATTGTTTCCATTTACTTTCTGTCACATCCTCAGTAGACATGATACGCAATTTATTATAATCCTCCTCAGAGCACCCATTGTTAGAGTGGCATCTTCCCACTTCCTTGTTTCCCCTTTTCTGAATGAACTTTTTTATTTTGGCTTTGCCTCTTACATCAAGTTTTCTAAGCATGTTATCCTTAATGTATAATTTACATTACTTTGTTGTTCTGAGGAATGGTGCCCTTCACTGGACACTGCATTCCATCAAAGGCTCACCAATGGGTAGCACAGGAGAACAAGACCTCTCTGCTTGCTCACCATTTACTTTGCATCCCCAAAGTACATTTTCATAATGTACTTAATTTCATATAAATCATTGTTAAAAGACTTGTGGCAGGACTTGAAAAAAGTTGAATATTTATCCCTGATTGATTTGCTGGAATTTTTCTGTTTCTCCCTAACTATTTAAGTCCCCTTTCCATGAAGGTCCCTCTCATCAGAAGGTCCAACAGCCCTCCAGAGATTAGCCAGTAGAGCTCCCTATTGCTCTCCATTTCCACTACAATAAACTCACTGCAAAGGTCCTTTGCCAGCCTTTTGGGTCTGTGAACTTTTTTGTAATGCCACAGATGGGAGGCATAATGATGTGTTTGCTCTCTTAACTCAGGAGGGCTCTAGACTGTCTGTGTCTGTTTCTCTTTTTACCAAAAAATAACTCCCCTGGGTTGTTAATTGCTGTGGGGCCTGCATGTATAAAGCTTATTTTACCTGGGCCCTGGTACATAGGTGTCCACATCACAGAAACCTTCCCAGATGGTGCTTATGTTGATTCCTCATTGGAAAGGCCAAGGGCACAGTAGGGGTGAAAACTGGTCTGCTTTTTTACACTTTTAAATCAGTCCTTCCATATGGTCCTAGGATCAGTAAGAGGTAGACACAGGGGTTCAGCTGCACTCAGGACTCTACACCATGTTTGCAAGGGACAACTCTCCACCTGATGTGGCCAATCTGGTCCTTGATATTTAGCTTTTTAAAATTAGATAGAGAAAAAAATTAAATTGCTGAGCTCAGGACACAACCAAACAAATCAGTTGGTGGGCTTCAGAAATTCCTAGTTCTGCTAGACAGGATGCACAGGCCACTGCTTTTCTGTAAGTCACAGCATAGTAGATGGGAAATAAGGTTATTTTCATAAACAAGAAGCATAGTGCAGGTGAGGAGTGTTGGAAAAGTATTGTTAAAATACAAGCTAATATGTATTCAGTAATTTTCTAATCTTTGCTTCAATTTCTTCAGCTAAAAGCTATGATTTTCTTCTCATGAGGACAAAAAAATTAAGACTGTCTGAAAGAGTGACAGTGCATTTTTCTCTCTGAGAAATCTGGATGATGACTTGAAAAATTTATCTCTGTTTTATAGAATAATTCATCCTCTGTTGATGCTGTTGACTTCATTACATTCTCTCTTTCAGATACGACAGCTTTGGCCGCCTGACCAACGTGACCTTCCCTACTGGCCAAGTGAGCAGCTTCCGCAGCGACACCGACAGCTCCGTGCATGTCCAGGTGGAGACCTCCAGCAAGGATGACGTTACAATAACAACCAATTTGTCAGCATCAGGGGCCTTCTACACCCTGCTCCAAGGTGAGTTGGGCCAGCATCCCTTTCCTGACCAAACTGCACACAATGGATCAGGAAACAGGCATCATCTTGATAATCCCAGCAGCAAAAATCGGCATTCTCAGTGCACCAGAGCTCCCCACGTGCTGGTACAGACACACACTCACACCTACTTAGCCCCATTCTCCAGCACAGTGGATGCTCTGCAGCTGTTTTTCTGTTCCGTTCCCAGCCAGTGCCATTGCCATGCAGGCTCGTGCAGCACAGTCGTCCATCATCATTACCATTATTGTTGTAACTAAAGGGGTTGCATAAATCAAGCCACACTTCCAGCCAACCCCTTTGCTTCAGTCTCGTAATGGCTTCTGACTTAACACTTGCTCTCCTTCTGGAACAGGCTTCCAGCTGGTTTATGGAGATCTGATTCTTTGTTGATTGGTGTTTCAAATATTCACGAAAAATGACCATCCCTGTGCCCAGACCTTTTGGGTCTGTGTTTGAGCTAAGAGGCGGTGTGGAGAGGCACAAAGAAGAAGTGGACAGGAGGGACTGGTGGGACCAGTTTGTGGCTGTGGGAAATGAGTACAGTTGTGCCTGTGGTAAGAAGGTGGGAAGCAGAGGACCTGTTAGGTAGAGGAAAAGGGAATGAAGTGGGAAATAAATGAGGAATAAATACCAGGGGAGTACTGTGCTGGCATGCTGGTAGTGGCAGGACCAGTACTACACAAACAGTGCCAGCCTGGATCTCTGGGTTCTGAAAACTGAAGCCTCCTTAGGATCAGGATGAGCTATCACACCCGTTCCCTGGGTCTTGGGGAAAGGGAAAGAACTTTCAGACTCTGCTTTCTTTACTCCCCAGATCTCATTCACTCTATCTATGACTGATTACAGTGGGGTGTGAATTTTTTTTCCTCCTTATGAGGAACAAACTGCTCCAAGTGGGGCAAACATGTTCCAGAATGACATTCATTCCCACTTCTCTGGGATACAATTTCCTTCCCCCTTCCTGTAACAACATTAACCTTTCCTAAAAGAAGGTGCCTGCTATGCCTGAAACACTGCTTTTACTCTTCTGGAGAGGGCAGCTGAGAGGGTTCCCCTCAAGCTGCCCCTGTATTCCTATAGGAACACACCATGACTTTCTTATTCTTTACTTGAGCCTGTAAAACAGATGCAACCTACCTCACCCTATCTCACTCACTCACATTAGGATGTGTGACAACATCACAGACATGAGGTTGGCTTTACCTCATGTGCCTAATTAAGCAAAAGAGCCCACTGTTGGGGGCCCTTTAGTGACAAAATTGACTGTGGTGTGATTTATACACTCTGCACTGAAGGCACAGAAACATAATGATGCTGCAGTCAATTCTGTCATTGTCCTGCCCTCCAGCACGGTGACATTCTGGCCATTAGGACGTGCAGAATTACAAACAGCTTAACTATTTTCAGAAGTATAGAATTATGACACTGTTTGCATCTGAAGAAACTCACTTAAAACAAAGATCTGGATAATGTTGCAGAGGAGGTGTCTTGATGAACCAAATTATTGGTGAACCTTTTAGGAAACCTGGATCACACTGTGAACAGGTGAGATCTGAGAAGGCATTTTCAGAAGATTGCAAATTCACATAGGATGGATTTAGGAGCTTCTACAACAGGCATATCAACACTCCAGTGGGATTTTGTCTTCTGGACTAGTGACAAAGTGAGCATTTGTTCAATGCCAAAGTAGGGCAGTAGTGCCCTAGAGCCAAAGCAACCTAAAATACAGCATTCAGCAGCCCATGGATTTCGTGTAGCCCTTGAGAAATACCTTCCACAGCCAGGGAAGAGTCTTCTCTTGGGAAAATGTTGAAAGTAGAGGATTTACATTACCCACACTGTACCACAGCACTGGTGACAATAACCCTTCTGTGGTGCTTATGTAACATGAAGGGAACATCATGTGTCTGATTAATTTCATGTAAACCTTCAAGCCTTCCTCTGCTTCCTGGTGAAGGAAAAAAGAGGAAGGAATATATTCACTGTTCAGGGATATTTCACTGATTTGATTTCAAGCACATCTCCTAATACTTTAGCATCAAACCACGCATCTAGAAAGGTGTGGCAGCCAATTGGCTGGTCCTTCTCTCCATTTGCAGATTCAAGCATGGAGGTGATTTGATCTGGCTGGAGTCTGTGTTAAAGACCATCAACTTACATACTCCATGGCAGGGCTAAAATACTTGAATCTGCATTGTGGATCACTGCTGTATGTTTTTGGCAAAATCCTGTGCTCCAGGAGTTTCGTTATCACTGCTGTATAAAGTTGAGCGGTGGTTCTGCTGAGGTGTCTGTGGCAGAACTCCAGCTGGCTATCACAGGAGCAGGATGAGACCCACATAAAAAAGGACCAGGTGGTGTCACATTTCCTTCCCTAATATACCAAGCTGTGGTCTTCGCTGATCTAGTCCTTGGGGACAAGAAATGGCAGTTTCACTGTGATCTTGTTTCCTGCTGGGCTATGGCAGAGCAAGTAGTGAACAAAACCCAGCTTGCCTTAAAAAGGAAAAACACTTAATGGGAATTTTCAGTGGGTGTTTTTATTCACAATTAAGAGTTTATGGCAGCCTGGGAGACAGAAATGGTAATGGTTTTTAACTTTTGAGGAGCTTCAGATAAGGCACTGTTTGTATAATATGTTTTAAAGCCATTCTGCACTGAGTAAGTCTCATGCTTTCTTACCCTTCATGAGCTACTCTCTGTGGAGATAAATGCCAGACGGAGATTCAAAGGATGGGCTTTCAGCTTGCCTGATTCCTGAAGGATGTAGAAGAGAGATTGCTCTTCTGTTCAACTCCTGAATTCCCGAATACTGGCCTCAAAATCTGATCTTTCATGAGCTAGTGGAGGCCAGATGTATAGAGACATGTGGGAGCTTAATGCCTCTGCTTTCTCTCCAAACAAGAGGACTTCAGTTGCCTCCTGAAAGCTTTCTCAAGGGAAAGGATTTGGCTGTTGTTTGGGGAACTGGTAAGCATTAACTTGCTGAGCAATTTCCTGTCACTTGTGAGACAGTGAATGAACTGAGGAAAGTAGGTGGCCCCACTTTCTCATATACTGTTGTGAAATTAAGATCTTTAGGATATAAAAGCATGGAAAATTTTCAGTCAGACAGATTTAAAATAAATATCTCACCACACAGTGTCTTAGCCTAGAGGAAGAAGTTTGAACCTGCATCTTTTGGTAAGGATTACACAGTTTTTTTCACTTTTTTAACCTGCACAGGACTTTCTGCAAGAATATGAGGTGCCAAACCTCATGCAAATGAAAAAGCAATTGTCCATGTTTATTTACTTTACCTGATGAAACTGATGTTTTGCTCCCATTGAGTGGGACAGGTGAGTAACAGAGTGCATTTGGTTACAACCAGCTCAAATGCTCATGCAGCATAGGTGAGGGAGCAAACGAAGAGCTGGAGCTGTATCATCAAAGTTCAGCAAAGAACTCTTTTCTGTCTTCAGACCAAGTCCGAAACAGCTACTACATCGGTGCTGATGGCTCCCTCAGACTGATGCTCGCCAACGGCATGGAGGTGGCCCTGCAGACCGAGCCACATCTGCTGGCTGGCACCGTCAACCCCACGGTGGGGAAGAGGAATGTCACCCTGCCCATCGACAACGGCCTCAACCTCGTGGAGTGGAGGCAGAGGAAGGAGCAAGCCAGAGGACAGGTCACTGTCTTTGGACGTCGGCTGAGGGTAAGTGAGAACCACGAGCTCTTTTTGCCTCCACTTCCCATCTCGTCAGTCCCCAGTCTCATAGCAGAAAGGGATGGATATAACTTGTATTGTCTGCAAGAGGGATGGGGCTGCAGGACAGAAAATTGTCTGTTCACCCTCAGTGACATAACCTTTATGACTGTAGTATATCATTATGTCTCCTTATGTGCTGATGTTCCCTTAGCCATTAAAGGTGGTGCTGCTGATCTCCCTACCAGTCCTCTGCATCCCTGGGAATGTGTGACCTCCCATCACACACCACAGGTTTAACCATCATCTCAGGCTGTTTAAGCATGCCAGGGACAGTTGTAACTATAAAATACCACACAGTTAGTGCAGGTGTTTTCTACCTGTGCTGCTGGCAGTCATAGAGCAAAGCACTGAAAGCCTTCTAAGCATGTCAGGACAGGCTGAGGGAGCTGGAGTTGTTTAGTCTGAAGAAAAGAAGGCTCCCGAGAGACCTCAGAGCACCTTCTATTACCTAAAGGGGGCTCCAAGAGAGCAGGAGAGGAGCTTAGGACAAGGGTATAGGGTTATAGGGCAAGGGCAAATGAATTCAAACTGGAAAAAAGATGGTTTGGATTAGATATTAGGAAGAAATTCTTTACTGTGAGGGTGGTGAGACACTGGCACAAGCCACCCAAAGATGATGTGGCTGCTCCAGCCCTGGAAGTGTTCAAGGCCAGGTTGGATGGGGCTCTGAGGAGCCTCATCTAGTGGAAGGTGTCTATGCCCATGGCAGGGAGGCTGGAATTAGATCTTTAAAGCCCCCTCCTACCCAAGCCATTCAATGATTCTGTGAATACTGTTCATTAGGAAACCTCAGAAAAAACTCTGGATTCATGAAATTGCTAGTCTTTGAACCTGTTGAAGAACTGGGTTCACACGGCATTGCACCACAATTGCTATTGTTCCCTGAAGTGTTACAAGCAGCTCCAGCCTGACAGTACTCTCCCTCCAGGAGTGCCCAGACCTTTCTGTGCTTGAGACTGATGTGTTTTGAAAACATTGTTCCGCACAATGCACCTCATACTTGTCAGGGCTGTTTAAAGATCTTGCCCAATAAGCTGTAATTCATCTGCTAACTGCTGGCAAAGCTGGGAACTTGTAATAGCAAGTCCTGTGCACTCACCCTGTACCTTGATAGTCTCAGAGTCACAGGCTGATGAACGGTTCCTGGGAAGCTGCTCAGCACCTGGCAAATTCAGACCCTCTGAGAAAAATGCTTAGTGCTGTGTAATGCCACCACAGCAAAGGACTGCAGCTATTTATTCACACCTAAGCTTGGCAGTAAATATCAATGCTCTGGTTTCAGGATATGTGTTTCCCAGTCCTTGCTCTTCACCTCTCCCTGTTCCCTGCTGCATGACCCCTGCCACTTTGGTGTGATTTTTCCTGTCTCTCCTCGCTCACACTTGTCAAGTATTTCTCTTCAATTACTTCACCCCAGCCTCTGTTCTTTTCCCCATGCATTGATAGCCTCATATTTTGTTACCAGAAGAAAAAATGCAAACAGTAATGAAAGCTGAAGCTGCTCTTTTAGTGTGAACTGCTGTGTATCTGCAGATAGTACACCACACTTTTTTGTTGGGTTTGTCTTGGGGGGTTTATTTTATTTTATGTTATTTTATTTTATTTCAATTAATTTCATTTCATTTTAGTAACTGATGACATTTTCAGAAAGGTCTTTTTCTGAAAAGAGAGAGCCTTCTGAAATCTGCAGCTGGGTCACAGCTATTTGGTGTTCAAAACAGTTTCTACTCATTTAGACACAGCTCAGCTGCCCATATCAGTTTTTATCTCCCAAATTTTTGCAGTAGATTCAAACACAGAATGTGTGTGTGTTTTATATTGTACTACAGCTGGAAAAACACTTGCAAGATGAATTTTCAGTCTAGTTGCTGGAATCCCTATAAATCTGCTAGCATTTATTCACATTTTGAGCCTATCAGGATCCTTCTAGTGAATCAGAAGTGCATCGTACATGGTCAAAGGACTCAGTTATGGCTGTGTTCAGGGGTTCAAAGTTGTTGAGGGTGTACTAGATGTTTTAAGCTCTGTGTCTGTGCATGCATGGCAGCATCTGCACCCCTTATACAAAAGCCTGCAAGGTGCTAATTACCTCTCTGGGGATTGCACAACACTTAACATACTCTCTGTGTGATATTCCCCTCTTCCCTCACACCAATAATTGCTGCTTTCCCTAGCAGGAGAGAAACTTAGGAAAGTTAAATTCAACATGTTTTTGTTCATTTTGGGAAATGATACCATTTTCTGCTATATATGAGTAAATTACTACTTTCCCTCTCCCCTCACCCCACTGCTTACATGAGACAGCAGCAAAGACATAGTGCTTCATGGGGAAAGAACATCCCAAAGAGGCTCCAGCATACTTTCATGAAGCCTTTGAAGTGAGGACAACAGGGTCTGGACATTGTAAAAGAGTGATTCTTTCTGCTGTCATCACAAGGATCCACTTTTTATGAGTTGTACCTCTTTCTCCCACAGTGTGCTTGGGGACTGGCAGCCTATTGCCATGAGCTCAGCCAGCGCCCAGCACGATGAGGCCACTTCCACAGCTGCCTCCATGACCCTCCCTAGGAAATAGCACAATACATGGTTCCTTATTGCATGGATAGGGCACACAGCAGGGACTTCTGCACAGATTCAGGGAAAGGGGACAACCCTGATACCTTTTTCCCTGTCCCACCAGTGCTGACCTGGTTCTGTATTTGGCCAGGCAATTATTACAATGATTTACAATGAATTACAGAACTGCTTTAACATATTTAACAAATATGTTAAAGCAGCCCCTTTCACTTTTGCTGTCCCACACACCCCATGAAAAATTGTGATTCTCTATCCACCCACCCAGCAGTGAGATACCTCTGCAGATTGGCTGGCTATGAATTCCACCCATCCCTGGCCAACAGCAGCAACAGACTTCACTTGCAGAGAGAGCATGAGAGCATTAAGTAAATCCTGCTTCAAGGAAGAGGACTACCCTCTTTTTTTTTTTTTTTTTAAGAAAAAACTTGATTTTTTCAATAAAGAAAGATGTAAAGTAATCTCTGACAATAGAGCAAATAGGACAGCAAAAAGAGACAGAGCTGCTAGCTCAGTTCTTTTATTTATTTAACCATGGTAATTCCTGTCATCAGTCACTTTGTTTTTTCCCCAAGACCTTGGCAGCAGGTTAATGGTGGCATCAAGACCAGAGGGGGATATGGTGCTAACCATATGGTGCTAACCTGGTATGCTGACTCATAAAGATGGTCCAGGATGATCTTCACAATTTATGCAAGACATTGAGGTCTGGCTATGGCCACTCCAACAGTTTTAGCAATTTGCTGGGGAAGTTCCTTTCTAGGCAGTCATTCATCACATGGATGTTGTTGGCTCCTGAAGTCTTCATTGCAGGAGTATTTTGTGCCCTCTTCTGCTGAAGGTTGCCAGGCTGTTTTCATGCGAATCCTCTTCCTTTTTGTACTCTTGTGTTCCCAGGGAGATCAATTAATATTGTTTAATTACTCTTTAAGCTAAAGGAGTGCCAAAGAAAGCATTGGAGAAATCAGAGATGGTGGTGTGTTTATTGCTCTTTTATCTGCAGAGGAAGCTAAGGGATTGAATAAAGTACTGTGGAACGTGAGTTAGGGGTTAAATTTAGTCTCTCACACATTTTAAAGGGATGTCAAATCCACTGTGAATTATGGATTTAAATTCACCCTGTCTTGATTCTATGCTGATCACAAGTCTTGTCAAACACTCTGAGGGGCAAAACCTTTTTGCAGGAGGTTTTCAGACTCCACTCCAGAATAAGGTCTGGGATGGAGGATGGCACCTTATTTAGCTGCTCACCATAAAGCACAGTTATTGGACTGCAGCCTGCAGCCCTGTCAGTTCTGCAGAAAATTCACTTCTATACAGGCATGCCCTTGAACAAGTATGAAAAAGATTTAGACCCTCTTCAGAGGCTATTGGCAGGGTAGAGTTCACTTTGCTCATCACCTTGAGGGGTTACTGTTTGCACTGCAGCACTTCTCAGATAAAAGAGACAGTACATCAAGAGAGCAGAAGAAAACAAATCATTAAAAAATAAAATACAGGAAAAGGGAGATTGGTTCCAACTAGTCGCACAGACATTGCTTGCCAGAGCATAGGGAGGGTGGAACAATTTATGGCACCAGACACAGGATACAGGCATTTGGACTGAGCTTAAAGAGCTATCCAGGGACCTGCTGCTTGGTCCTTCCAGCCCAGTGAATGGCACTGCTGCTAACATACTTCTCAGGAAGACCTCATTCAGCCTAGATTACTGTTCCAGCCCTAGAAGAGCTCTTCCCAGCTTTCTTGGCAAAGACCTGGGGCAGAAGAAGCTGCAGCTGCCAGGATGGAGACTCTCCGTGAATATATGGGAGGCAGAGATGCTATTGCTTCCTGCTTTGCTTTTCTTTTTTTTTTGCAAGGAATTGCCTCTCGTGTTTCTCTCTCTATAGCAGCAAGCACGTAGGAGATACCAAATTCCTCTTAGTTACACATGTGCATCTGCACTTAAGAGTTTTGATACCTTTTTAATTATTTTCCAGCTTCCCTGTTATAGTGGCTGATTTCTTCTCTCCCATTGCACATTTACACTCTATATCACACATATTTAATTAGAGCATTGTCTGCCTTTCTACAAAGTTTCTTCCCTGAAGTCATATTCACCTTTTATCCTTGTTATTCATAAATTGAAAATTGTTGTTGCACTTGCCTCTTACATCATCCTCACACTGACATCATAGCAACAATTCCTTCTCTCCCCAGCTCTTGTGTTACCTTCTTTTGAATTCTGGCTTTCTGGTGTCCCCGTTTTCTAGGCTTCAGCATAGATGTCTGCCCATGCCAGACAAAGGCACTGCAGTGATTCAGCCTTTCCCTCTCCTGTTCTTCCAGGGCTGAGGAACCTCTTTGTTGATTCAACCCTATGCTTTCTCTTGCAAGTCCAACCAAGCAAAGTCCTACAAGTCAAAATAAAATAAGGACCACCAAACCATGTCCTCAAGTGCCACATCTACATGTTTTTCAACACTTCAGGAGTGTCAGTGTTACCCAGAGCAGGACAGGGCAATGTTTTTAACTTGATCTGAAAACTTCATAGCAAGCGGCAAACTCTGGCTTACTGACTGTAGCTGAAGGGCTGCAAAGGGAACTGAAAACCAAGTCAGCTTTTTGGAGTTTGAGATTCATCCAAGAAGAATCTACACCCTTCCAGAAGAAAGATGTTCACTAGCTGAAAGAGGTTTGGAAGAGGTGGGATGGAGAAAGAGCTGTCTTCACTGACAAGCTTATACTTGTAATACTGATTTTCCTCCTTGCTTTCAAGCTAGTACTTTGCTGCTGTGGTGATGTGGCTTTGTAAGTCTCCTTGCACACGTGACTAAACATGAGTTGTATTATCAGCCCCTTTTTGTATTGCACTGCAGTCCCTGAGTAGAAATGTATTCCTGCTCTTGCCTTTGAAGTAGATACCTTTGCTTACCTCCAGTGCCTCTGTATTTCTAAAGATCAGAGTACAATTATGCCACTCTGAATAATACCAGGACAATGAAGTTAAAGGTCCAGCTCTCCAGGAAAGTTCCTGCTCTCTCTAACATCTACAGATGTGGCTTTAACATGTGGTTAAAGCCTTCACTTTTCATCTCAGGGGAAATGCTTAACCTCCAATGCCTGCATTATAGTCATAAACTCAGAGGAAAACACTGATTTCTGCTCTAGTGGCCAAACATCCATCTCTTTCCTACAAGTGTTTTTTTGATATGCATGAAAGCAAAAGACTCAATATTCTAGGTTTGATAAGTAGAACATCTTGGAAATATTCCTTGCAATAAGTTGTCATTCTGTGCTCTGTAGGTCACATCTGCTGTAGCAGTCCTAAATCTAGATTTGGGATATGAGGAATATTCCTTCACTGTGGTGTTTCGAAAGTACCATTCTTCTGCCTCTCTCCTTACTGAAGTCAATAAGAGCAATATTAGGACAACTCTTTGCTTTAAAAATTGTGTCTTATCCAGCAGCAATGAACAGCTGGATACTCTCCAGTGTACTGTAAAGAGGTATTTGGTGAAACAAGGCTACTCTTTCTAACCTACACTATTTCCAGCTTCCTAATTCTCCCTTTTTCCTGTAGGTTCACAACAGAAACCTGCTGTCCCTTGACTTTGATCGTGTGACAAGGACTGAGAAAATCTATGATGATCACCGCAAGTTCACGCTTCGCATCCTCTACGACCAGGCAGGGAGGCCCAGCCTCTGGTCACCCAGCAGCAGACTGAATGGAGTCAATGTCACCTATTCCCCAGGAGGACACATTGCAGGGATTCAGAGAGGCACGATGTCAGAAAGGATGGAGTACGATCAGTCTGGCAGAATTACATCCAGAATCTTTGCTGATGGTAAATCGTGGAGCTACACCTACTTGGAGAAGGTAAAAATGGTCTTACAGCTCAGAGATGGTGCATTTGAGGCACATGGGTTTTCTCCTTTGACATCAGTACGGCTACACACCTTCACCTCAGCTAATTGTTGGTCCTATTCTGTCCCACTAAAGTGCACAAAGTGGTTTTTTTGCCAGACCACCACAGAGCAGCTGAAAATTATCTGAGATGTTTTTTCCCAGTCATGCTGAAATCATGTGAACTGTGAAGGTTTGACATGTGATTTTTAAAGCACAATCTTGCTTTATTTAGTTGACTGCAATATAAAATATGCTCAGATAAAGTCAGCAGAGTGAACAGTAGGAATTTTCAGTAGGATTTTCCATGTGAAAACAACCTATGGAGTCTGACATCCTGCCTTCTTCAAGTGGCCCATTTCTACTTACAAAAATACATGTAATTAATAAGTGAGGCATTAATTCAGTCACACTTGCAGCGCACTTTGCAGTGTTTCCTGGGGCCTTCACTCTGTGTGTTAGCATGGAACTTATGTTTTCTAGGTATTACCATTCAGCATTACACTGCCCAGTTACCCTTTGATCCATATATTATATACCTGGGCCTGGAATGTTTTATTCCTGGTTTTTGAATAGACCTATCCCTAAAACAGTTTAAGGAAACTGTAATTGTGCCATATCTTGTAAAAAGGAAAAAGTATTGATTTATTCCTTGTATTATATAATAAATGTGGATTGTTTGTTATATGCAAAAAAAAAAAAAAATCCCAGAACAAATAAATATGCAGGCAGAAGTTTGGAGGAAGAGGGTAATAGAAGATGGGTTGAATGAATTAATTCATTCATTCATCATTGGAAGGTGTCGGGGGATACTTTTTCAAGCAATGTTTAAGTAGCTCTACCAATTTTATTTAGTTAGCTTTCAAAGGCTGTTGGCTCAGGGAATTTGCTAAGATAGCTGTAATAGTGATTTGTAGTGGTTTGAAAAACTGAGCATTGTGAACCTGGACCTTCCTCCCTGCATTAACTGCTTCTTCCACTGACCCACTGTTAGAGGATACTTGATGCGCCATGCACGGCTCCTTACCTTTCACTGTTGAATTCTGTGGGTGCAGAGATTTGTCCCACTCACCCTGCTCTTTGGATTGAAGAGTCTTACAGGTTTTGTGAGAGTATAATTTTGCTGGAAAAACAGGGATATAATCTATACTTTTCTTCTTCCCATCCAGTCCATGGTGCTGCTCCTTCACAGCCAGAGACAGTACATCTTTGAGTTTGACAAGAATGACCGGTTATCCTCGGTGACCATGCCCAACGTTGCCCGTCAGACTTTGGAAACCATTCGTTCCATTGGCTACTACAGGAACATCTACCGGCCACCAGAAGGCAATGCCTCAGTAATTCAGGACTTCACAGAGGATGAGCAGCTCCTGCACACTTTGTACTTGGGCACAGGGAGACGTGTCATCTACAAGTATGGGAAGCTGTCCAAGTTAGCCGAGATGCTCTACGACACCACAAAGATCAGTTTCACATACGATGAAACTGCAGGCATGCTGAAGACCATAAACTTGCAGAATGAAGGGTTCACCTGCACAATCAGGTACAGACAGATAGGGCCCCTCATTGACCGGCAGATTTTCCGCTTCACTGAGGAGGGCATGGTGAATGCACGCTTTGACTACAACTATGACAACAGCTTCCGGGTGACCAGCATGCAGGCAGTCATCAACGAGACACCTTTGCCTATTGATCTCTACAGGTACGATGACGTGTCAGGCAAAACTGAGCAATTCGGTAAATTTGGGGTCATTTACTACGATATCAACCAGATTATTACCACTGCCGTCATGACCCACACTAAACATTTTGATGCCTATGGCAGGATGAAGGAGGTCCAGTATGAGATATTCCGGTCTCTCATGTACTGGATGACTGTGCAGTATGACAACATGGGGAGAGTGGTTAAGAAAGAGCTGAAGGTTGGCCCCTATGCAAATACAACTCGTTACTCATATGAATATGATGCTGATGGCCAGTTGCAGACTGTGTCTATCAATGACAAACCTCTCTGGCGTTACAGCTATGACCTAAATGGAAACCTCCATCTGTTGAGTCCAGGGAATAGTGCCCGCCTTACACCACTCAGGTATGACCTCAGGGATAGGATTACTAGACTGGGGGATGTGCAGTACAAAATGGATGAAGATGGCTTCCTGAAGCAAAGGGGCAATGATATTTTTGAGTACAATTCAGCTGGTCTGCTCATCAAAGCCTACAATAAAGCGAGTGGGTGGAGTGTGAAGTACCGCTATGATGGCCTAGGAAGGAGAGTCTCCAGCAAAACCAGCCATGGCCATCACTTGCAATTCTTCTACGCTGATCTGACCAACCCAACCAAGGTCACCCACTTGTACAACCACTCAAGCTCTGAGATCACCTCCCTGTACTATGACCTCCAAGGCCACCTCTTTGCAATGGAGCTCAGCAGCGGTGATGAATTCTACATAGCCTGTGATAACATTGGCACTCCTTTGGCTGTCTTCAGTGGGACTGGCTTAATGATCAAGCAGATACTGTACACAGCATATGGGGAGATCTATATGGACACTAATCCCAACTTCCAGATCATCATCGGCTACCATGGAGGACTGTATGACCCCCTCACGAAGCTTATCCACATGGGGCGGAGAGACTACGATGTGCTAGCGGGTCGCTGGACAAGTCCGGACCATGATATGTGGAAGCATCTGAGTAGCAATAACATAATGCCTTTCAACCTGTATATGTTCAAAAACAACAACCCCATTAGCAATTCTCAGGATATCAAATGTTACATGACAGGTAAGACATTTAAATTAATAAACATCTTCACAAGCTTGCCATCAGCAAATAGGTTTCATGGTCTAACGCCAGATGGAACTAAACCCCACACCACAGCTACTCAGTCACTCCTGCAAGGTGGGATGGGGAGCTGAAAAAGTGAGAAAACCCATAGACAGAGATTGAGATAAAGACAGTTTAATAGGAGAAGCAAAATCTGCTTATGCAAGAAAAACAAAGCCAGGAGTTCATTCTCTACTTCCCATCAGCAGGCAGCTATCCCCAGGATAGCAGGGCTCCATCCCACAAAACAGTGGCTTGGGAAGACAAGCACCATCACTCTAAACGACCTTTCCTTCCTTCTTCCTCCCCAAATTTACATGACACCAGATGGTCTGGGATATCCTTTGGGTCAATCAGGATCAGCTGTCTGGCTATGTCCCCTCCCAGTTCCTCATGCACCCCCAGCCCCCTCCCTGGTGGGGTGGGGTGAGGAGCAGAAAAGGCCTTGGCTCTGTGTAAGCACTGCTCAGCAGTAGCAAAACCATCCCTGTGTTACCAGTACTTTCCTAAAAAGCCCAACATGCAGCCCTGTACCAGCTACTGTAAAGAAATTTATCCTCATCAAAACCAGTACAATAGGTAATTCCTCTCTCAGTGTCCTGATCACCATGAGGCTTTCCATTCTTTAATTAATGGACATAAGTTTTAGATAGCCAGTTGGACCCCCATGTACAGGGCATGTTTAATTCATTAGTATAGATGGAGATTGTAATTCCCAAACCTGTTTTCTTTCTCTTCTTAGGTGTTTTTTCTTTTTATTTTGCATACAGATTTTTTTCCCCTCAGATATCTGAAGTTTAGCTACCAATTAATGTCCTGATAACCTTTCTCTTTGTAGAGGGGCAGCTCTGTTTACACAGATTTGCCTAGAGATTTATTTGCGACTAAACAAATGGCATACAGATTTGTTTTAGCAGAATGGCAAAGCGATTCAAACCTTTTGTTACAGTCAGCAGTGTCTACATGACTACTGCATTACAAGCTATGTAGTTCAAAGTTAATCAGCCTTGCAGAATCAACAGTGTCTACAAAAAGTCAAGAAAATAAGGTGCTTTAGACTTAGGGGACAGATTTTGGGCCACACCTACCCCAAAGCTTGACACAATCTCTGAACTGCTTCCCCCAAAACTTTGTAAAATTGCTACAATATGACCTCTGGGGTATTTTTACAGAAAATCCTTTTCTATATTAAATGGCCTTCCTATATACATAGAATCATAGAATCACTTCGTTTGGAAAAGACCTTTAAGATTATAATGTCCAACTGTTAACCCAGCACTACCACATCCACCACAAAAAGGTGTCCCTAAGTGCTTTTAAATCCCTTCTGGGATGGTGTCTCCACCACTGCCCTGGGCAGCCTCTTTCAGTGCTTGACAATCCATTTTGTGAAGAAATTTTTCCTAAAATCCAATCTAAACCTGCCCTGTTGCAACTTGAGGTTATTTCCTATTGTGCTATTGCTTGTTACCTGGCAGAACAGGCCAGCACCCACCATATACTGGAACCTTGTTTCAGGCAGTTGTAGAGAGCAATACGGTCTCCCCTGAGCCTCCTTTTCTCCAGGCTGAGCACCCCCAGCTCCCTCAGCTGTTCCTCACCAGACTTCTGCTCCATTGCCCTTCTCTGGACACACTCCAGCACCTCAATGTCCTTCTTGGAGTGAGGGGCCCAACACTGAACAGGTTTCAAGGTGGGGCCTCACCAATGCCCAGTACAGGGGGACAATCACTGCCCTGGTCAGGCTGGCCACCCTATTGCTGATAATGCCCAGGATGGTACTGGCCTTCTTGGCCATCTGATCACACTTGCATGTTTGCTGCCATCCCCTGCCTGTACTGAGATAGCAGCCTGAAGGACCTCAGTAGCAAATTGTTCTTCTACCATTGGTGTGCTGCTCCCAGGTTTATCTCCAGACAGCTTTGTTCTATCCCCTTTCTCTAGTCTCAAACCTAGTTTCATACTGTGTGCAGCAATGGTAGCAATGAGAAGAGTTTGAGAAGTTTGAAAAGACTTTTTGGTGGGCCTCTTATCTAGATACTTCCCATTGAAAAGCCAAGTGCCACAATCACTCCTCAAATGTGCATACTTCTTAAGGAGATAGAATTAATTTTTAAATGCTCCTGCTGCATCTATCACAACCTTCCAAAATTCAACAATAATTGCATTCCCCTAAGTTACAAGATCTGATAAATAGCAAATAAATGTTACAAAGTAAAAATATTGGGTTTTCTGTCCTGCTTGTTTTCCTAGGCATTACGATTTGTGCTTTCAGGTTCTTCTGCAATAATCGTAAGGATTAGATCATGGGGTTATTTCCATGAAAAGTTGTTTTCCCCAGAGCTGAGAAGACGATGCCACAAGGGAAGTAAAATATGTCAAAAAATGCAGGCTAAGACCCTGTATGTTGCTCCCACTCTGATGGTAAAGGCTGGGAGGGAATACCTCAAGATAACTTTTCCTATCAGAAAATGCTTATTTGTCAAAACTGAATTTGTTTATGGGGGAGGGTTGAGAACGAGAGATTTCTCAGCAGAAGCGTAAACAGCTCTCAAAATTGTCTAAGTGACAAATTCCAGAATGTCCTTAAAAAAGAATCTATTTTGGATTTTCAGCCTTTTCAAGCTAAGTGTAAGCTAATGATTGAAAACTGGAAAAGAAAAATAAAGAGTCAAAACCAACATGGAGTTTAATTCAGATGTTAATTGGAAATTTTTGGTTTGAACAGATCTAGTTTTTGAACTGTTCCTTTATTACATATTAATAGATTTTTGTTTTCCTGCTCCAGTTAAGACAGGACTAAGTATTTTTTCTAGCCCTGTGTTAGAACAGGTGCACAGCTTCCCACACAGCTCTGACAATAAAATCAAGACGTCAAAACCTGATACACCAATATTTTATGTGCACCAAATAATTTTTTTCTATGATCCTGTAAGTTCTCTTTTTAGTTTTTCAAGAATACAGTGCCCAAATGTATTTTTCAAGTTTCTCCACCCGCAGTGCATGGAAGAAGCAGGCCATGCTATGGGATGAGTGCTGTGACACAAGGCTGCTGCCCCAGCACTTCTTTTGGCTCAGGCTTTCAGGCAGCTCATGGACAGGACCCATGATAAGACTGTCCTTGTCATCACAACCAAATCTGCCCAGATCTGGAGACAGGGAGCTGCTCTCTGTCCCTCCATTCCCACACTGGGACCTGTTGTTCCTTAGAAGAGCTCAGTGCCCAGGACATGGGTGACCAGCACGTGCTTTGGCCTACAATGATGAGGTCTCTGAGTTAAGGAAGTTGAAGGTATGTGGAGGGGAGAGCAGGAGAAGCAAGTATTTATGTTTTGAGAGGCCCATTGTTAAACATAAATATTTTAGTGATTGTACACTTCATGGCACAGAGCTTTGCTGCCAGCTTCAGCAATCCTGATGGATTGAACTGACATTTCCATTACATGTGTCTGCATTAAGCACTCCTTTTCTTTGCCCTCAAATGAATTTACTGTGAAATGTGTTGGCAGGGTTACTGTAGCTGAAAAAAACCTCTGTGATGTGAAATGTACTTTTCTGTCAAAAAAGTTGTCACTGCCTCCTGGCAAATTAGTATTTTCCCCTCTGTTTTCTCAGCTCCACACCTTCCTCCCATGGTTTCAGGTTGTTTGTTTTGGTGGATTTTTTGTTCTGGGTATTCCAACACCTCTCTCCAGAAAGAAAAAACTCCTGGTTGCAGGAAGTTTTTTTGGAAGTCAGTTTTCTGAGAATTATAAAGAACCCCCCTATATTGGGTATTTCCAGACATGTTACATATTTTTTCAGCATCCATCCTCTCTATACTTTCTAGAATTTTTGAAGTGCTTGGGAAGTGATTCCTGCACCAATGCTGACCTTCATGGTTTTACTTTGTTCTCCTGACCACCTGGTCCACAATATGTACATCAAAGTTCTTCATTTGAGATAAGAAGGATTTGGAATCAGGCTGGCTTAGCACTAGGCAACAAAATAATCAAATGAGCCTTTTCATTTCTCTCATACCCCCCCCCCCCCCAACCTCTCTGTTTCAAAGACACTCCAAAAACAATCTGTACATTGAGTGAACAGAAGTGTTTTTATTACAGAAATCCTCCCTCTTCCACATGGATTGTCGCAAGGGCTTTTTGGACATCTGCCCAATCGCAACATTTTGGCCTGTAGGAAAACAAGCAACAGATAGTGTGTTTGTTTGGCTCCCGATTCTCCAGTCATCTGGAACGGCGTTATTTGCCACTTGCATCCATAATTTCTTTTCCAACCAGTTCTTCAAAACATTCATTTAGGCTCATGGGAATAGAGAAAAAATATTCAAAGATGCATATTTGATTATTTAATTTTTTTTCTATCTTCAGATTGTTTCAACAACACTTACTGAGTTTAGCAAAATGAAAGTCAAGCCTTTGCAGTTCCAGCTTGAAGCAGAGCAATCACCAACAAAATTCCAGTTACATCCAGACACTTAAGACTCCTGGGAGCTAATATTAGTTAAACTTCACCTTCATACCTTTTTTTACCTTGCGATTGCTATTGTGTGCCAAATGGACACCATATTGCTCAGGGACTGTAGCAGTTTGCCCTCTGGAGCTAAGTGAAGGCAAACAAGGTGTGCTCATCAAATGCTCTGAAATTAAGGGGGGAAGTGATGCTAATCCCAAGTAGGTCTAGGAGTTACCCAACCTCATATTTTTTTCCTCCAGCAGATTAACTTTCACCTGCTATTCCTAATAGCTGTGCAATCAAAAATCAAGGAAGACCTTGTAATCTACTGGCAAGTAAATGCAGGAATGATGTCCCAAATGGCTGGTTTTCCATCACATTCCCTTTAGTGCCAGCAGTCCCTCTTCTGTATAAGACAATAATTTATCACTGGTAGCCACCAGTTTTCTCACTATCCGTGGACTTTTTTAAGTCTGTAAAAACTACCCAAGCAAAATATCTCTCATGTCTGTACACTTATTTTCACTATAATGTACCTTGCAGGCAGTATGAAGTCTAATTGTAAATATCACTGCAAAAGATGATGTGACTTTACGCTGGTTTAATACTCAAACTACAGCTTCTTATGAAAGATGCCAGGAAACTCTAGACTGAGGTGGAAATCCATGGAAAAAGCAGTGGATGTGTCCAGAGCTTCTTCTGCAAGCACCAGCTAAATGCCTGAGTTGTCCATCCTGGATGTCCTGGTATTCTGGCACAGAGCCCTAAATTTAGTCTTCAGCCTGCAGGCCCTTTGAGAGTCCTCAGGGAGAGAAGTACTGGGGCTGAGGTGTTCTGAGCTAACTGTAGGACTGGATAACACTTCCCAGTTGGCTGGAGCATCTCAGCTTCAAAGTGTGTTGCTATTGCTGTACTTCTGCACACCTTCAAACAGTGCTTGATTTCTGCTGATGGAGGGAAGACATGAAGTTGGCTTTGATTTGGGCCATTTGCTCACTGCCAACATTTCTGTTTCAGAGCTGGGAATTGCAGAATTTGGCTCTGGCTGGAGGTGGAAATTCCAGATTTTGGCACATTCTAGGACCATTAAGATTTCTGTTCTTCACACAAAGCAGAAGCTCATCATTTTGTCCAGACTGCTACAGTGCCAGCCACCGTGGGGTCCTCCTCTGGGCCTTCTCCTGGGAAATCCTGCTTGAGAGATCAGATAAACTTATTTATGTTTCTCTTCCCTTCCAGATGTCAACAGCTGGCTGCTCACCTTTGGGTTCCAGCTGCACAATGTCATCCCCGGCTACCCCAAGCCAGACATGGATGCAATGGAGCCATCCTATGAGCTAATCCACACACAGATGAAAACCCAAGAATGGGACAACAGCAAGGTGATCCATGTAACTCCATACTGTATCTCATGCCCTTATCAGCAAACTACCCATTTGCAATGTTGGTTGAAAAAGCTCTACCAGCATGTTGTGAGATGAAGAGCGAGTCAGACCCCATTCCAGTATGAAATCTGACCAAATAATCACATATTAAGCTCCCTAGTGCCATGGTGCATTTTCCTGTGATATTTTCTGGTGGTTGCTCAGTGAAGTGGTGTGTTACTCTTTCTTTCTCCCACAAGAGGCCCCGTTATTACATATTGCAGGCTAAATTCAAGGCCTTTGCACTCAGGATTTTTAGAAATTAAAAAAAAAACTAATCTTGATACAGAATTGGTTTCTAAAGTGGGGGTTTTTTTTGTTTGTTTTGGTTTGGTTTTTGTTGTTGTTGTTTTGTTCTAGAAACCTATTCATTCTGGTTTAAAATATCTTAAATAAGAAGTCATACTACTTGCATAGGAAACTCTTTTGGATTGCAGAGAGTCTTTCCAGAAATAATTTTTTTATTATCTTAAACTTTCATTTTACCTGACCAGGTTTAATCCCATGTAACTGTGTCCTGGTTTTAAAAACAGGCTTGTTTCCCAAGCCATTTTGGTAGATGCTGGTGCAAAATTCAGTGATAAAATTGCCAAGAAAAAGGCTTTTGCAGCCCAATCATTTCCCTGTCTTCCTGTTGTGACTTACTCAGATGAAAGATGGAGGCAGCACTGTTAAAAGTTAGAACACACAGTCAGGATTTGAGAGCCCTAGGTTACATCCCAGCCCTACTGCTTATCAATGTATGAACTTGAAAGTAATTTATCTCTCAGGATTCTCTTTCATTTCATAGCCTGATTGTATTCTGGGGTGGCTTTCATCTGTTTAGTCTGAACTCCCACTTGCTGGTGCTGTGTGTTCAAACATTGCAAGAGCAGTGAGGCACCAACATACTTGGGGAGATCAGGGCATGCTTTCCACATTTCTGCTGATAAAAAGATAACAGTAGGCAATGGAACTGATTCCATCTGCCCTCCTAGCCTCACTACCTATGGTTTCACTGAAATCTTGATGTCTGCAGCAGATTCTTGAGGTACACATCTTAAACCAGGAAGTCACATTTCCTGAACCGCAAAGGTATCACTCAAAGATACAAACAAATTACTGTAGATTGATGGTAGTCATATGTCAGTCCATCATTGGTACTCAGCCTCACAGCCATGCTGAAGACAAGTTAAAATGTACCAGCTTCAACTTCAACAAGAAATTTATATGAAGTGTCACTTAATAATATAGGGGGAACTAAAAAAACTACCATGACTGGGTTGATGCTTGAAAACTATTACAGTGCAGTAACTCAGTTGTGGTGTGGAACTCAGAGACTCCCTTTTTGTTTCTTATTTCCTTGGATTAAACAATAAAATGCTAATAGAAGTTATTTCTGTAATGAGGGAGAGCCTCAGGATTTTTCCTCCTCTCTGCTGGGACACAGTCTCCCTGGGCAAAGCTGTACAGGAGTAGGCAAACAGGAAAGGCTCACTCAGAGACTGCACAGACCATCTCTGTATTGTTATGCCACATAGATAATAACTCTCACAGAACCACCACAGAAATTATTATTATTGTTGATAGTATTATATTATTATTTTATGATTAGTTCATTGTGCATATTATAGTGTGTAATATATATATAACTCTTTAATATGTACTATAATATCATAATTTGACTTATTGAATAGCCAAGTAACTTGAGTGACAGCTTGTGGTGATGATGACCTTTGTTCCTACAGGCAGATGAGCTGGAAATAAAATCAAGGAGAACCCTCCCTTTTCTCCACCCATTTTAGGTGAATCTGCCCGAATGAACAATAAGAAAATAAGGAAATCTCAGTGTCCCTCACAGGTTTTTAAAGCCAGAAGCTGCAGTGAGGGCTGTGCAGGGACCTGCTCATTAAGTGGGCTTTATACAGCTATCATGCTTCAAGATGAGTCCCTTTGCACTCAGATGTTGAAAGTGGAATTTAACCACTGCAGACTGTTTCATATTCTTCCCATGTGTTATGACAGCAACAAAACATGAACACTGTTATGTCAGTCTACAGTTGCAGGATTGTGCTGTGATAGCAAGTGGCTCTTAAATGCTGTAGAGCAGGATTCCCTTGCTTTCTGTCACACTCAGCATATTGTAGGCACATATTTGCATATACCAAATTCATTCACATATGATACCTGAACAAATGATCCATTTTTTCCTACACCTATCCATGCATCCAATACTGATGTTTCCATAAAGTTCTGTTCACTCCCAACTCTTCCAGGCATCAATACACACTCCCAGACACAGTCCAGTCCTCCTTCCCACTGGTTGTCTCTATTTATTGATGAAGCATGAGGAAGAAAATAGAAACTTTTGAAAATTTCACATAGGAAATGACAAAATTAAACCAAGGTAAATGGAAGGACAGGAAACATTTTCAGTTAATAATACTGATCAAACTGTAAAATGGTTTTGCAGAGCATATGTAGTAAGCTCTAGATCTTTTGTCATTTACAAGTAGCTTGGACAAGGCATTGATCACTGAATGATGTACCACAACTTTCTCATCTCCATGTCTTCTGATCCCTAGTTTCTCTGGGTCACATATCTCCTTGTGATAGATGAAAGTGTATTTGAGCTACTCCACTGGCTTTGCTGATCAAAGTTGGCCCAGTAGATTGGGTCTGTTCTTTTATCAGAGAGGTACACCTAACAGGAGCACAATAACAAAGCAACAAACACCCAAAAATGGCTGCTTCATCTCTATTCAGAGTGCGTAACTAGAGGGCCCTAGCATCTCCTTCCAAAATATTTTTGGTACTTGCCTTGCTGGTCTGGAAGACAGGAGAGATAATTCTGACTTTGAGCATGCACCACCTCAAAAACAACCAGCATGTCATAAGCCTTGCACTAAACCCCTAAAGCTCTGAAGTGACATTTAAAATCCAATACTTCATTGTGCAGTGCTTCCCCCCCTCCTCCCCACGACTGTGAGGCTGTCACTAAATTGTTTGTTGAACAAGTTCAGTGTTATTGGCCACTGGGGGACTCTGGGTGACCTCTGGCATATTGTGGAACTGCAGCACCTGAATCCAATTTCTCTTCTGGTTTTTTGTTGTTTTTTTTTTTTTTTTTCCTTCCTATTTTGTCTTGTTGAGCTGTCAGGTAATTTTTGGAGCCAGAACAACTCTATTTCCAGGGAGGGGTGTTTTGGAGTCAGCACTTGTATCATTATCTACATGCTGTTATAACTACCATTCTCTCCATCCCATGGGCACTGTATCCAGGAAGGGTCCTGTTTTCTGCAGTGCCTGTTACAGGTTTTGCTGGAGAAGTAGTTTTTGGCATCCCCTCTGGAGCAGCATTTTGGAGGCAAGAGTTGCTCTGGGATGCTTAGCCAGGAAGTGAGCTATAGGGCTGTGCTTTCTGGCAGAGTTTCTTCCAAGGACAATCTGTTTGAGAGACTGGCCAGTGTTCATCGTTCAGGGAAGGCATCCTGACATTGCAGGTGCTTTGTCCTGGGCTTGTACTGTCACACTGTCTGCACATCTGTCCATCAGCCCCCAATTATGTTTTGCAAATTTAGTGGTCAGTTTTCAAAGGATGTAATGCAGGGAAAGGAGTTGAAGTTTCAAACATATTAGGCTCTTGAGGCTTTATGAAATTATATGAGAAATCTGTAAAGTGATGAGCAAGAGGAGGAGGCAAATCCTCTTACTTCTCCACACTTGAGATCTGCTTAATGAACTCAGCCTCGTTATCCCCCTACAGTCATGTACAGTGGTGGGGTGGAGGAGAGACCTGCCCTCTAAGCCCCTGAGTTAGTGCTCCTGTTTGGCTCATTCCAGAGCACTGGCCTTGCTGGCCCGTGGCTCACCTCCTGCCACATCACCTCTCAGACAACCAAGAGCCTGCAGTGCAGCCGTGCTGGTGGACACATCCAAACAGAGACTTATCTCCAGGTGATGGCCACATGGAATATAGGGAGGAGGCTGATGGCTGAACAATGGCTTTGTTAACAGAAAGCTACAGGGTAAATAAAAAGGGGGCTTATAAAAAAGAGGGAGAGCAACTTTTTATACTTTATAGGTCAAAGGGGGACAGTTTTAAACTAAAACAGTAGAGGTATAGATTAGATGTTAGGAAGAAATTCTGTACCCAGGGATCAGTGAGGCAGTGGCACAGGTTGCCCAGACAAGATGTGGCTACCCCATCCCTGAAATTGTTCCAAGGCCAGGTTGGGTGGGGCTTTGGGCAGCTTGGTCTAGTGGGGACATCCTGGGCCATGGTGGAGGGATTAGAAGAAGATCATCTTTTAGGTCCCTTACAGACCAAAACTTTCTATGATTCTGTGATAAACAGGAAGGAGTTAAAAATGAATCATATATCAGAGAAATCATAACTTCCAAACCTTTTGGAAAAAGTAGCTTTTTGCATTGTAAGCCATATGGTGGTAAGAGAAACACCTATCTGTCCATAATGGCACAAGGATAGAAAGCAACTTGGAAACATGTTCACGTATTTCACATCTTGGATCCTTTATGGGAAATTAAAGCTTTCAGTCTCACACTGGAAGGCGGTATTTAAAAACAACAGATGATAGGATCTGGCGATGGTATTTCAAATCCTCAAGAGGTGCTGGCAAAATGCAAGAGGCTATTCAGAGATCCTGGTAATGTGCTGCTCTCCTGAGCTTTGTGCAGCAGAGAACAAATGATGAAGGTCGTTCTCTTCTCTCCAAAGGGTTGTTACTAGATAAAGTGAAATGTCACCTAAGGACATCTGATTAAAAAAGACTGTGAAGAAAAACAAACCCAGCATATTTGTCACTTACATCGAGCAACAAATATTGAAATAAAATAGCAATGAATTATCTTATTTCTTCTGTAAAACTGGTTTATAGATGCCTTGGTTTACAGTTACTAAAAGCAGCAGCAATTTTTAGAGAATAGCACATGCCACTGCAACTTTGGATGGAAATTTTCTGTTTCTTCTCCTTGCTAGTTCATTGAAATGAGTTCTAAGATTGAACAGAAATGGTAATTTCAAAGTCAGAGATACACTGCCTCTTTGAAATACATGTAATCTGTTTGCCTCCACCCTCTTTATATTCACAGCACAGCATACATGCTGGCTGTGCTCTGGTTTGCTTGAATTTGTTGGTTGGAGGTTTTTTTCTGTTGGATGTGTTTGCTTTTCCTTAGAACAGAATGCTGTTCCCAAATATACTCTTTTATCAACGAAATGCACTCACAATGTCATTTCACAGTCATCCTGGGCTTGTTTTCAAGGTAACAGAGATGCATTTAGTTTTTAAATAGTTGATAGCTAATAGTTAAGTTTGAGCAACCTGGTCTAGTGGTAGGTCTCCCTGCCTGTAGCAGAAGGTTTGGAACTAGATGATCTTTAAGGTTCCTTCCAGCCCAAACCAGTCTGTGATTCTGAGTGTTGGTGAATGTTCAGTGTTACAGCTTTGCACATCTCATTTCCTACTTCCTTATGTGAAAAAAGGTGGGGAGAGCCCAGAAGTAACCAGTCCTCAATAGAAAAATCTTTTTTGATTGTGCTCTTGTTCTTGATTAGGACACCTGAAGGTAGGTCTCTGCCTCTGAATTTTGATATTACGGTGGTGTCCAGATCCACTGGTTTGTTGGGGCAACCTAATTTGGAGGCATCCATAGCGGACCTTTACCTAATATTTGCTCATAATTAAAAACATACTAGAGTTCCTGCAGCTCATCAAGAATAAGGTTATGAAGACAAAATTGAAGGGGAACAGGGGCAATTTCTGATAGAAATTATTCATCCATGCCCAGTACTGCCTGACCTCCCCGAGCTTCCTTCCCCAAGGTGATAATCAGTAGATGGTGTAATTAATTCCAGGGAGTCTTTATCACTCACCTGCTGGTAAACAAGGTGATGTATATATAGATGGTGATACATAAGTGATCACAGGACATAGCAGTGTAGCACAGAAGACCTGATTTACATCCTTGAGTGAGCAGTGATTTGGTATGAGTGCTGAGAGATGCATTTTCCCATCACTGGTAAATGTTACTGAGGCAAGTTGGAACTACTAAGTGGTTAAGGGATCACCTAGAGTCAACCCCTATGAGATACACCTGAGAAGAACTCTCCATTTAAACTTCTTTGAAGAGGAAGTAGCTAATTACCAAGGCTGTGCAGTGTGCACTTGTTTAGAACAGTGTTTCATGGAGCCTAGAAGCCTAATTGTTCCATGTCCATCATCACTGACATCTACATTAATTATGTCCATTTTTTGCATAATTAGAGCACTTGTGCAATTGGCAGAGAAGCTGGGCTCGGCTCCCTATCAGTCTGTTAATTATATTGCACTCTAGGGGATGTGTGAGATGCCCCACAGGCGGGATAGAGAAAACCAGAAAGAGCTCCTTTTACATAGGAAACTGGTTCCTGCTCCACCTGCTATGATGTCAATCAAAAAGGGAAAAGGAGAAGGTACCTCAGCCTGCTCAGCACTTTGAACAAAAGTAAATTCTGGGAATTTTAATGTTCTACAACCTAAAATGGGCTTTTGAAATTGTATTCCTCTATTCCCTTATAGTTTGCCCTTTTAACAGTCAAAACTGCCCATAGCTTCTGAGTAAGTTGCAATGCTCAATCCTTTTTTTTTTTCTTTTTTTTTTTAAATACTTTATGACTTTTCCCTGGAAATGGCCACCATGGAAACGAGGGTTTATTTCACTTCCTTTGTCATGTTACAAGTCTTGTGTGAGAGGTCCACACTGAAATGCCTGCATCATCTGAATTGTCTTCTTGCACCCAGAATGTGAATCTCTAGTTCATGGACAGTTTAAGGCAATATCCTTTGTGAGTGTTTCATTTCCTCAAAATAATTGGAATGGAATAAACTTTGTAGCCTATTTTTTAATCCTTGGTGTCATTACATTATTGAACTGGGCCATTGTCAGTGCCAGGGGAGTTTTGTCATAGAATCCTCTGCTTTTGTGAAATTTTTCAAATTTCAAATAATTGTTTGTGAACAGGAGTCTGTAAGAAGCCAGCACTGCCATGAACTGATGGGAGCATTTCCAGAACATTTTACAGTAATGATGAGCTGCTGACTGGCTGTGTGCTTGCTCCATTATACCCTAACAGCAAAAGTGACTTTGTATTGCACCGGACTGAAAATTTTCTGGGCTGCTGTCTCTCAGTTTTGCTTCAATGTAAGCTAAAACTTGAGCATCAGGTGTGGTTGGCCTTAACTCTGGGAGCCTGGCAAATTGTAGAGAGTTTCCAGGAAATAAGTTTTGGATTTAATGCTTTCCTTGAGTTTTGAACAACCTGCTTTGGCCAGGCTGAAATGGAATACAGAGAGGTTATGGCCACTCTGAGGATCATACAGATCATGCAGGGCCTTTGAAGGCAGCACAAGGAGTTGCAACGTGGAGTTATAAAATAGAAGAAACTTTTACAAATACTTCCACACTTCACAGAAAATCTGAAAGCATTTGGTAAAGCATCATGGCCACAAGACAAATTGTTTCCTACATGCAGAAGAGCACTGAAACACAACCTAATTATGTGTCTAAACTCAACCCCCATACCACTGAGGCAAAAAAAAATATTTCTACCTCTACATCCTTCAATCTATGAAATTAAATATAGTTCAGTTTACAGAAACAATGAGCATTAGGAGGGGACAACATGTCTCTTCCATGATAAGGAATTAAAATTTTGAAAATATGTGGTAAAGGGGGAAAAAATAATGAAACTCCTCATTACATGTTTCCAGTATGTTCTTCAGCTCTCCAGCATCCTAATAGTGCTTTCGGGTCATCAGGTTTCTCTTTCTGATATATTGTTCTCTTCTTTCTCTCCCTGCTCAGTCCATTTTGGGGGTCCAGTGTGAAGTGCAGAAGCAGCTGAAGGCCTTTGTCACCCTGGAGCGCTTCGAACAAATCTACAGCTCCAGCATCGCTGGGTGCCGGCACATCAAGAAGAACAAGAACTTTGCTTCTGGAGGCTCCATCTTTGGCAAGGGCGTCAAGTTCGCCATGAAGGATGGGCGCGTGGCCACTGACATCATCAGCGTGGCCAACGAGGATGGGCGGAGGATCGCAGCCATCCTGAACAACGCCCACTACCTGGAGAACTTACACTTCACCATCGACGGGGTGGACACACACTATTTCATTAAGCAGGGGCCATCAGAGGGCGACCTATCCATCCTGGGCCTCAGTGGCGGGCGGAGGACCCTGGAGAACGGCGTGAATGTGACAGTGTCCCAGATCAACACAGTGCTGAGTGGGAGGACTAGACGCTACACGGACATCCAGCTCCAGTACGGTGCACTGTGTCTAAACACGCGCTACGGGACCACCTTGGACGAGGAGAAGGCACGCGTCCTGGAGCTGGCCCGACAGCGCGCCGTCACCCAAGCCTGGTCCCGGGAACAGCAGAGACTGCGGGATGGGGAGGAGGGTATTCGCTCATGGACAGAAGGGGAGAAGCAACAAGTGCTAAACACGGGCCGGGTACAGGGCTACGATGGCTATTTTGTGATCTCAGTGGAGCAGTACCCCGAACTCTCAGACAGCGCCAACAACATCCACTTCATGAGACAGAGCGAAATGGGCAGAAGGTGACAGAGAGGGTCAATGCGGTGACTTCTTGCCAAAGACAGCTACTCTTTTGTGGCCACTTACCTGACTGTGTTGTACTCAATCCTTTTTCTAAACTGAACAAGTTGGAGGGGAGGAAAATAGAAAGAGAAGGAATAATACAGTTGCACTGTAACTCATGCAACATACTTTTTTCCCGCTTTAATTTGGCCTTCATGCATTTTTTGCAATGAACAGAAGGTATATTTTGCCGTTGCGTGATCACAGTGAAATTTACTGTCTCTTGTCCTCTTTTTTGTTTGTTTGTTTTGGGGTTTTTTGTTTCTTTTCCCCTCTCTTTGTGAGGAATTTGAAGTGGGGAGTCGTCAACGTACGTCCTTAGGTGTAAGTGCGAAATGGGTGTCTGTGCTAACTTGTGTCATCCTAACCCTTTCTGATTTGGAGCAGGGGCGTAGCCTTCCACCTGGAACAGGGGGAGCCCATGGCGTGCCAGAGAGCTCCTCCCAGAAAGAAAGGAGATGGAAGACAACGCTGATTCTGATACTCTGAAAGTGACCGTCCAAATCATGTGCTCAAAAGGGACCTTACAAGTAGTTTTCACGTTTCCCTTGGGACATAAAGTGTTTCTTTGGGGGCTCCTGCTGAGCAAAAGTAGATTATAGAGGCAAAGAAGCTGATTATATTACCTTGCAAGATGATTCTCTTCCTTCCTGAACTGGAATAAAAAAAAAAAAATTGGTCTTTTTTAATTATGAGAGTAGATACTTTTGGGGTTTTTTTGTGTGTGCACAAATCCTGGTTTTAGTTAAATAACCTAGCAAAAGCCAAGAAAAGGGACTCCTGCTCTATTGAGAAAAGCTAAAATAAATCCTCTCTCATACATAGAGCTGTTCTATAGGTGGATTTAATGCACCCATGTTGTACATTTGCTAATGGCATAACTTCATTAAATGTATAGTGTTTCAGTACATGAGGCTACGTGTTTAACAGTCCACTGTGCTGTATCTGATAAAACCAGTTAATTTTTAGGAAGCTGATTTGAATTTAAAAGTAGTTATAGTATCCCAGTGACATACCACTGAAAATTAGAGCCAAACCCTGCTTTTCCTGATTCTGGAGCTTGTATTTATTGGCTGGGAAATGCAGTTTGGAGTAGCATGCTGGCAAGTCGTTTATGACTATGGCAGATAAATGTCTCCTGGGGACTTTGGCAGCAGGGATTTTAAAATGTTTAATAAGTAGCAACAGCTTGTGCGTGGTGGGACAAGAAGAAGAATATTGAAATCAACCCTCTCACTGTTTCTTACACGAGCTCAAATTTAATGGAGAGCCCACTTGACTGTTAGCAGTGATGAGGGGGAGGTTGAATGGAAATGCCCACTACAGAGAGGACCAAGTGCTTTAATAAGAAATTGCTGACAAAGTTGCTCGGCATGCTAATGTAATTTTTATTCACATAACCTCTGTGCTCTGGTATTTGCAAGAGTCCTTGAAATTCAAGGGAGCAAGGAGATGAGCTCAGCATCCTCTTTCCTGCCTGAAACAGTCCTGTGCTGTTCCTGCAGACAGAAGTGTTACCCCACCTCTCAATGGAGCTCTGGCTGGAGGTGGCCAGCCCTGGTCCTGGATAGGTGTCTCTGTCACACTGATACCTGCAGTGTCCTGACTCTAAGAGCTCTCTTGTGTCTCTCTGGGAACAGCTCAGTCTGATTTTTTTTTTGTTTGTTTGATTCCATCCACTTTGGCTTTTCCCAGTTCTGCAGAGAGATAACCCAAGACGTGCAAGACCATGCCAAGGCTGTTTTCTTACTCGGAGTCCTACAATGCACCTGCGTACTCAAAGGCAGCTCTGCTGCAGTCATGCCACCAACCACTGCCATCCTCCAGCACTGACTAACACCCCTCTGCAGGATCTCCCCCCCAGATACAGCAGGGGCGTGTGTTGGCCATGCAGTCCTTGAGCAGAGAAACATTGGCAGCCCCGGTGCTCTCATGGTTCTTCTGTAGATGCTGCCTGCCAGCTCCGTCTGCCTTGCCTGTCTGTTCCCAGGTGCTTGCCAGGAGGAAGGTGATGGGATGGAAATTCCCCTAACAGACTGTTCCTCCTCCAGTTCCAAATCCCTAATACCTTTGGCTGCGTGGCCATGATCAATGGTATGGGTTTGATTTTCTGGTCGTCTCTCCTGCTTGCAGCAAGGGTGATGATGCTGGTGATGTGTCCCAGTGCTGTACTCAGAACCACCCCTTGCAGCACACAGCTTTTATTACTTTGGCAGGAGTGAACCACAGGCAGCTGGAAAGGGTATCCAGTTCTGGCAGAGGATAGAGAAGAGATGTTGGCCAGACCTGCTCCAGGCTTTGGCAAGGGAGCAGTTGCTTTGGCAGCTGCCTGCCAAGGATGGTTAAAAGGCCAAGACATTGCCACATGTATGGCTGGTATGAAGCCTGGGTTGCCCTGAGGATGCACAGGTGGGGATCAGGGGCAATGTTAGCCAAACCAGCAGGAGCCACCTACTTAAAAGAAGCAGCACCTTCTTGCCAGTGCTGTCCAGCTCCCTGCTTCCCCCTCTCCAAGTCACACCAGGGACAAATCCCTCTTAAAACCTCAAACTTGTGATGGCTGTGAATGTCTCAAACAGCACGAATGGAATTAAGAGAGACCTGCAGGAGGCAGGGTCAAAAGGTATGAACCCCTGGTAAAAGACCCACAGAGCAGAGAGAGCTCATTGTGCCTCCCATTTACACTGCCCCATTCCAAGCAGCTCCGAAGAAAAGTGGTGCTTCTGTATCCATCTGTGTCCATGTGTACAATGCTAAGAGGTGCAGTGCAAGAATAAATGGACCATTTTTCCACGGAGTCAAGAAAAGGGATTAGAGTGTAAAATATTCCTACTGGAACCCTGCCAGCCTGAGATGGCACCTCCAGAGCCTTACACAGACTCTTCAGGTTATTACATGAGCTAATGACTTTGAGGAGTTCACCCGTTTTTCAAGAGTCTCCCAGTCCCTCCATGCTTGTCCAGCATGCCCAGAGCCAGGAGCCCAGAGCTCTGTGCCATGGCCAAGGCAAGACCCTCGTGCTGCATTTTTCTGCATCCTCAAGCAGAACTGGGATGTGACTGTGCCTGTCTGCCTGCCAGGTCCATGACGGTCTTCTCCTGGGCCTGCACCCAGTATGGAAACTATGGACATTTTGTCAAAAAGGGGAAAAAATATATATGTAAAAGTATATATATGTATATGTTGTTCCTTTCTATCAAAGCAAAAATTTAAAAGGGATAGCTGTCTAATACTGGGGACAAGCCGTCCAAGGACAGCTACTACATGCCTGAATCCTCAGCCTCTGTGAAAGCTTTCCACCTCACCTAGATGGCAAAACAATGTTTTCAGTCCTGAAGCACTAAATTTACCCATTCATTAGTGAAAAAATGTTTTTCTACAGGATCTCAAGTGCATTTCCTCTTTACTGATGACCCCATAGCTCCTTCCCAGCCATTTTGTTGTCCCTTTTGCCTCCCCATGGGACCATACTGGCTGCCTGACGCTTCTTGCTTTGCATGTGTGCAGACGTGAAGTAATTTATTGCTTCCATAAGAATGGAAGGCCCTTGGTGCAAATCCCACAGCACTAACCCCTATCATAGGATCAGAAACTCGTTTGGGCTGGAAAGAACCTTAAAGATCATCCAGTTCCAACCCCCTGTCATGGGCAGGAACACCTTTCACTAGACCAAGCTGGGGTTTGAACACTTAAACACTTCCAGGGATGGAATATGCACAGTTTCTCTGTGCAACCTGTGCCAGTGCCTCACCACCCTCACAGGAAAAAATTTCTTCCCAATATCTAATCTACTCTTTCTGTTTGAAGCCATACCCTATTGTCCTGTCACTCCATGCCCTTGTCAAAGTCCCTCTTCAGCTCTCTTGGAGCCCCTTAGGCACTTGGAATGGTCTGTAGTGGCTTCCCAGAGCCTTCTCCAGGCTGGGCAACCCCAAGTCTCTCAACCTGTCTCTATAGCACAGGTACTCCTGCCCTCTGAGCATCTTAGTGGCCTCTTCTGCACCTGCTCCAACAGCTCAACATCGTTCTTGTGTTGGGGCCCCAGAGCTGGATGGAGCACTCCAGATGGGATCTGGTTAGGGCAGTGCAAGGGGGCAGAATCTCCTCCCTAGCCCTGCTGGTGATCCAGCCCAGGACATGTTTGGCTGTCTGAGCTGTGAGTGCTCATGGATGGGTCATGTTGAGCTTCTCATCCAACAACACCCCCAGATTTTTCTCCCTAGGTATGCACTCGATCCATTATCTGCCCAGCCTGTATTTGTGCTTGGGATTGCCCCAGCTGAACTTCATCTGGCTCACACTGGCCCACCACTCAGGCTTGTCAAGGTCTCTCTGGGTGGCATCCCTTGCCTCCAGCATGTCGACAGTTGGTCTAGATGTTGTTTCAAAGGCCTGTTGAAAGACATGGCAGACCATCTCCTGGGGAAATTTTCACTGTGCTTTAAGTCTCACGTGCATTAAGGTTTGATTTTGAGAAGTCATTTTCTTTCTTGACTCCCAGAAAGAGGACTCAGCTCTCACCAAAAAGAGTTCCCCATCAAAATACAGAGGTGTAGCTTCACTTACTTTCAACTCTGGTCTTGTCTCTAGTCCAAAGAGTGGTGAGAAGGATCCTGACCAAATCTCACAGCTCAGAGGAGAAAATCCAGTGCTTTGGAGCAGAGGCTGCATCTCTCAGTGAGAGCAGTCAGGAGCAACAGCTCAAGTCTTCAGTAGCTGGAGGTGGTACTGAAACATGCTCCACTTGACGGGACAACAGTGATGGGACCTACTTGGTGTGGCATCCAAACATAAGCGGTGCCATGAGGAGACTCTGCAGCTGAAAAATATCCTGTGAACCCAGCCCAGGGGGAGAGGAGCAAGACTAATTAGGCATCACAAGAAATGCCACATTTGTTTCCTTTGAGATCTTTATGTTATTTTTTCCCTTTCAACTGGAGATTGGCACTTGGAAAAATCATTAAGCAGCAGTGACCAGAGGGAGTCACGCAGCTCATCATATCTTTGTCATCACAGCTATTGATCAGAGCCACAGTGAAAATGGGCCAACAATGCTAAACAACACCAGGCGAGAGCTGATGAGATGAAGGTCATTAAGAGCTTGGTGCTAGATTCAGGTTTAGAAGACACAGATGACTGGGAGCAATCACTGAGACACCATTTGGCTGTAACTTAGGAACAGTGAGGGATTTCTGTAATATATCTGTAGTTACCTTATTGAGCATAGGGACCGGCATGAAATTCTGCTCAGTCTATTACACAGACAGTGTAACCAGAATAAATCAAAATTGTTCAAAAAAAAAAAAAAATCTAATAAAGTACTTTTTCAGCTGTGACTTGTAAGTGTCACCGTGATGGATGGCAACGCAATCCATTATGCAAAGACAAGGCTCTTAACATGAAATTTTAGAATTCAATTTTACGATTTACAGAGAGGGCCCCCCTCGTATTTACGGCACAGCAGTCTGTTTTGATTCAATCTCGGCATAATTGAAACCAGGGCCAGGGATCATGGTTAGTCCTGTGGCTGCTTTTTAAAAGGGAGGGAGAAATGACAGCCTATAACATTAATAATGAAGCTAGGGAGATCGCTTTGCTTGTTAAATCTTACTCACTTTATCTCCTCGCCTTGATGGCACTGCCAAACCTGGTGAACATGAACACTGTGCCTCCATGCCAGGGATGCATTTGATGGGATAAAATCTGGCTGTCATGTGGCCAGCAGCATTGTCCATCCCATGGTGAGCATGGCCTGGGGCATTTTTGCTCCTGTTGTTACAGTCCTCCACAGGACTAGCTAGTTTTTCAGTACCTCTTTTTATTATAAACACTCATTTTATTATGATCACTAAATAGTCCCCGTTACACCAAAGAATTTTCATGAGTTTTGTAAAAATAAAAAAATAACCCAAAGCCTTCTTGTGTTTGCTTTTTTTAATTTTTGTTTGTTTTGGTTTGCTTTTTTCCATCACTTGAATATATTTAAGTAAAATTACTTGCGACTGTAGAGCAAACTTCAAACAGACACCTCAGGGGCATGGAGGGCCCTGTCCAGGACCCCCCTTCTCGCTCCTGGATGAAGGGCCATTGCATGTCCTGGGGGCCATTTCCTGTGGCAATTTTCCATCCTCTACCACCCTGATCAAAAACAACTCAGCCCACCCTAGGGAAACCTTTTGTGTTTCTTTCGTGCTCTCCTTTAATTACCATAAAACTTTGTGTTCCTGACCAAGTGTTACATAGCTCAGCTGTTAACTCTCATTCCAGAGGTCAATGCTTTCTGGGGAGCATAAAAAACAACAAATGAAAATTAACTAAAAAAAAAAAGTATATATATATATACACATATATATATAATTTTTTTCCTTAGAGATGGAAACTGTTCAAGTGAAAAATAAAATTTTCAAAAACAAAAAATAAAGTGTTTGGACAGTTCATAGATATTGTTGAAATAACCAATCAAAGAATCACACTTTTCTATTAAAAAGTAAAACGTTTATTTTGTGAGAGGACTTCTAATGCAGCTCCGGCCGAGAAGAGGACTTTGTATCAAAGCTGCATCTGTAAGCCCAGCACTGAAGACTCTTGTCATTACCCTGTGTAATAATTTTCCTGAAGTCTGGAACTAATTTTTTGAGAAATTTTTTTTCTCGATACTTTGTGTTTCTAATACTGTATTCTTGACTGTGTAAATACAAACAGGCTGTAAATAAGTGCAGATGTAGATACCTTCTAGAAAAAGAAAAGCAAACAGACAGAAATGACCATGTGTAGCCTTCAGTGACAAATAAAAGAATATTTTGTGTTTAAATAGTGTTTTCTTTTTTTTCAGTGAAAATGTTGAATTTCTTCATCCCAGCTGTTTGATCCTTACATGGGAGATGCACCTGGCAAAAGAGTTGACCAAAATTTCCCCCCACTCCTCAAATTTGCACTTAAAGGTGCGTTTCCCTTCTGTACATAGGAAGTGGGATTCCAGGTGGCCCAAGGCTTTGCCAATCCAGGAGGTGATGCTTGGGATTCAGAGCCTCTCCCTCTATTGCGGGAGCCCCCATTCCAGTAGAAAGGTAAGCTAACTGAGAAACTACACTATGAACTCAAAAAAAAAATGCTTAACAAATCAAGGTAGCATTAGGTTTAGTGATACGTCCAGCAGAAACCTGTGCACCTGATCCTCATTCATGCAGAGGGAGAAGAGAAGCTGCTCTAGCACGTTCCACAATGACCCGGGGAAACCCTCTTGTGATTCTTGATACCACCCGGCCCAGCCCCACTTGCAGCTTGCTCTGATGCTTCAGGAAAAAATCCAGAATAACTTCAGGAAACAGGGGCCAAAAACATGTGTTTTCAAAAAATGTGTGTTGAGGGAATTATCCTTGTGTGCTCCTTGGGGATAACCTAATGGGAAAATGAAGCACAGGACTGAGTAGTGATCACTGAAGGAGGAGCAGGGAGTTGCTATCCAGTTTCACTGCCTGAGCATTGTTCTGCTCTCCAAAACCAGGTGAAATTGGGTCTTTTAAAATCAAGTCCAGTTCTGTGTGGAATCTCTCTCCTCTGGAGGTAGATGACTGTGATATGGGAAATAAATATCATTTCTCTTTCTCCCTTGACACCAGGCAGAGCCACAGGAGCCACTTGAGGCCTCTTTGCATGCAGGTCTTGAGCGAAGTGAGAGGAGTCCAGCTGCTGGTGGATATTGATCCCTGCAAGGTGTCCCTAAGGTTTCTACCCTTACTTGGCCATTCTTTGTGGAATGTTATCTTCTCCACCAACGTGTGTTTTCTTTCAGGGCCCAGTACCACAGCCTTCATTTTCCAGCCACCAGATCTGGTGCAGCTTCTTGAGCCATCCTGCAAAACAAACATCCCCTTGACACCAGCCAAGTTCCCCCTTTGCTCTCTCTGCTACACTGAGCAGGATGGACCCCTGCAGCCTCATGGCACAAAGTCCACTTTCCAGCTGCTGGATAGTTAGTTTTTCCATCCTCTGGCATGTTTGGCCACCTTACCTTCAGCAGGACAACTTCACTTACCTTGTGCACAAGGCAGGGTCTCTCTCCTATGATCATCAGAGATTTTTATCTTCGAGGTAGGTGTTGGCCCCTTCTTTTTGCCCTAGAAAGTGGCTACTGAGATAATTACACAGCAGGCCTGACATTCTCCCTGAGCCTCTGGTTTCCCAGTGGTCTGGTCTGGTCTCTTTTCTCCAAATCAGAAGCCTTAGTTTGCATCAGGCTGTTAGTCATGTGCCTTTTCCTAAGCTGTGCTTAGCCAGGGAATTCAGATCCCCCTGCGACGGTGACCTGCCACCCCCAGTACCCGCCATCCCTCACTTCCTGTGCCACCTGAAGTTTATCATCAAAAAAGACCCTGCCTTAAATCATTGATAATTGTATTGAAATGCACTGGACCAAGGACTAATCCCCGAAGGTAGCCAAGGAAACAGCAACATTTCAAGTTGTCGGCGAACAAGGGTTGTCTCTGCCTCATGTGGCTGTGCCAGATAAGACCAATGTTTTAATCAAAATATTGTGGGTAGTAAATCAAGTGCTTTTGGGACAGCCACCCTGCCATGCCAGTCTGATCGGCCAGGGCAGACTTATCGCATCATGTCTTTAATAGGGGCCATAGCCTGAGGACTCTGGCTTATCTTTCAGAATGCTACAAGGAGTCTCTCCGTGCTTTCAAGGTGGGAGCACAGAAAAAAATTGTCCTGCATTCCCACAGGGAAGCAACTAAAGCCTCAACCATGGGCCACATGTCATATACAGTTGAAAAGTACTACAACCAAAGAATGGTGATTATATTTGTCTGGGAGAAATGAACACAGGTAGAACACAAGCAATGTGCCTTCAGGTTGGTCATCCTTCCAGGAGTAAGTGCTCCAGCCTCATGACCCTTCTCAGGGCCAAAACTGTGCTGCTGGCTGGCTGGCACAGCACATCACACATCACATCCCACAGCTCACCTGAGTGTGGCTCCCTCCAGGACTGCTCAGCTCTGCAGGTGTGTGTTGTGAGATGCTGCATGTGCCCGTGCAGCAATGAGACAGAACAGGCAGGTAAATCCCAGCTGCAGCGCTCTCCCTTCCCTGCCCTGCACAGCATGGACAGGGCACTGCTGCAGCCCCAAGGCCAGGGCTGCAATCCAGCGCTCCAAATGCTTTTGGCCCTCCTCCACAAAGGTGTAGATTTAAGATCTCAGAAAAGCTAAGCTGCTTCTGAGAGCAGGGACAGAGATTCTTCAGCAAGGAGATTAGGTTTAAAAAATTACCTGGTCGTTAATGCATCCCTTTGAAACAACTGAGCTCAGCCTTTGTCAAATCATGGCAGTTCTAGTTTGAAACAGTCATTTTTAGGTGGTGATCCTTTGCTGAGAATTTTCCAAGGCAAAGGAGCGTCTTTGAATACAACCTGCTGAAACAACAACAGTCCAGGCAAGAGAACCTCATGAATTATTGTCAGTTGGATGCTTTAAAACTATTTCTTGGGTTCTGTCTGAAAAACAACTCCAATCACCAACCCACTACATAAATCACGAACTTCAAGACCTCCTTCTCCTCCAGGGTTAGTGTTTGCAAAACCACAGTCCTTCCTAAGCCCAGCCAGCACATCCTTGTCAGGATTTACTCAGAGAAGGATGGGAAGGAGTATAGGAACAGGGTAAGCACCACATCCTTACTGTTAACAGCACAGCAGGCTTAGACTTAAAACCAGCTCATCTCCCACTCACTGAATTAAATGAAATAGAACCACAAGCAAAACACAGCTCTGAGCTTGGACTTCAACCTGCTGCATTACTCAGTCTGCTTGAGCATCTCCAAGCCTCTCTCTCATGGAACAGTGGGGTTTTTTATCCCAAAGTCCAGAAAACATTTTCTTAGCCCAGGGTTTCTCAGGCAGGAGCCAGTGGGCAGATAATTGCAGCAAGTTTACTCAGCAGAGCCACACCACCAGTGAGATGCTGCAAACCAGTGTGACCACAAGGTGGTTTTGATTTCTGCCTTCAAGAGCAAGAGATGAGAGGGATCTGCTAATTCATTGCTATGCTGTTATTTTCCATCTAGAAGACATTCATGTCCTCCAGGAGTTTTATGCAGCCAGACCTCACAGCATCTTTTAGGCCGGAAAAGCCCTCTAAGACCATTGAGTCCAACCATTAATTGCCAAGTCCACCACTAAACCATGTCCCCAAGTGCCACACCCTCACATCTTTTGAATCCTTTCAGGGATGGTGACTCCACCACTTCCCTGGGCAGCTGGTTTCATTGCCTGACAAGCCTTTTGATGAAGAATCTTTGGTCAACTGCCTTGCAGCAGTGAAGTTTTTGGGCCATTTCAGGAGTGTTGCTCATATTCCTCAAGCTCTGGTGGTGGCTCAGGAAAAGGAGCCATCAGCCAGCCAGCAGCAGCAAGGAGAAAAGTTCCAGAAGCAAGGTGGATAAGGAGGAGCACGAAGAAAAATCCAGTGTTGCACTGGACATGTGTGGAATGTTATCTAGAGGTCCTCAGTACGCCTGGGTTTTTGTCCAGGAGCCTGAAATGGCAGCTGTAAGAAGTTAGAGTGTTCTGTCTGTCATTTTGCATGTGCTGCATTTGATCTAGGTCTCTCTTCTGTACATTCTTGCTTGGGCCAGCTCTGCATCAGGGCAAATAGTTGGGGCAAGAGGATTCTGTGGATGGCATTGCTCTGCCTCTCCTCCAGACCCTCCCCAGTGCTCTCTTGCCTCTGGATGTCACATCAGAAAAACCCACCTCCAGCATTTGATAGGGCAGCACTGAGGGAGGTGTCCTGCATGCCCATGGCCTTGGGAAGCTTAGGGTTCCACACCTACACAGCACACAGGCACACCAAGGCATGCTGCTCATAGCCCACAGCTGAACTGAGCCTGTATATTCACACAGATATCTGTGCAAGTAGAAATAAGTGTGGCCTTTTCAGAGGAGCAGCCTCAAAATAGATTTTTATGTATTTATATGCATTTAGCAGATTCTCCATCCCTTCCTGTGCTCCCCGCCTTTGTCATAAAGACACACTCCCTTCCCTGCTCTCCTCCCTGCAGGTGCACTTTGAGCAAGCAAAGCACCGTGTGATTGCTCCGTGCCCTACATCCCCAGGTCTTGTCATCTGGCAGCTTTTCTAAACATGGCTTTCTTCCTCTCAGCAATTCTGTGGGGACCTTGAGAAATGAGTGCAGCAAACATGCCCTGTCACTTCAAAGTTGGAGGGCTGACGACTCTTGAAATGCACTTCTCTACTTGTCTTTTTTTTTCTTTCCTACATTCCCCTCACATGTCTAACAACGCCATCTATGCTGGCACAAGCTCTGGCTCTGGCCTTGAACTCTGCAAGAGAGTGATCTGGGTCCAAGGATGTTTTCAATGTTTCCTATGATCAAGCAGGGAAAGGCAGAGACCTCTATGAAAACCCTTGGGAAGACATGAAAAGCACTCCTGTTTTTACACATTGCAACTTAGAGATGGCCAAATTCTTCCTCCTAAATTTAGTTTTCTAGCTCAAACATGAAGAAGAACCCACTGCCACACACTCCTGTACAAACAACGAGGAACAAGTGATTGAGGTCTCAGGTGGGCTGGTTGTGTTTTCTGGCCATCTCCCTGTCCATGGGACCAGCATCCTCAGGAAAGTGGATGAACTGGCTCTACAGTAAAATAAATTCAGCTGAACTTGATGTAGAAAACCCAACCCAACCTTTTGAACTCAAGCTTTTCCTCTTCATCATTTATTTTCCACTCCTGGAATGAGAAATTAAATGCTTCCCAGCATCCTGTCAGGAAATACGCTGTGA